GGGGTGAGTTCACGGTTATTATGTGAGGGCTCAGAGGGCTCACCTGGGAGGGCTCATTTAAACTGCAGAGGATCGGGGATGTGCTGGGGTAGGGAAGTGTGGGCCTGTGGGCAGGCTCGGAAGGGCTTTGATGCAGCAGGGGGAGAGGCCCCCTGGGAGTGGGCACAGCAGTGCAAAGGCCCTGAGGCAGGACTCCTTTACAAACCACACAGAGTCTCATGGGGCCAAAGGACAAGAGTTCAGGGGCACAAGAGTAGGTCAGAGGAGCAGAGAGGCCACAAGTCAAAGGACTTGGGTGGAGGGCCCAAGGAGGAGCCTGGGTCACAGAAGATCTGGGGCCAGGGATGGGGCACAGCTGACCTCAGGCCTCCCCAGGCTCTGGCCGCCTGTCTGCCAGCTGGGAGCCACGCTCAGGGCCCAGCACTCCCAGCCCCGTGGCCGCTCAGTTCACCAGTGAAGGGGCCACTCTGTCCGGCGTGGACCTGGAGCTGGTGGGCAGTGGCTACCGCATGTCACTGGTAAAAAGAAGGTTTGCCACAGGTATGCCCCACCCTGCTGCTGCCATGCCCCTGGGAGCCAGGGCGCAGGAGTTGTGGGAGGCATTTGGGGCGTTCGGGAAGGATGGGTAGGTATCGGGGTATGAAGACCCAGGATGGGGGCGTCCCAGGCAGGGAGGGGTGGGCAGGATCCCAGTGGGAGGGGTGGAGAAGGCAGATGAACGTTTCTGGGTTGTCCCCTGGAGGGTGGGTGTCCCTGCAAGAATCCGAGGCCTGGAGCCTGAAGCCCCACAACAGTGACACACTCACTCGGTTCTCGGGCCCCCTCAAGGGGCTGCTGGGTCCATGGGCCAGTGAGTTAATGGGTGTTTTGAGGAAGACTGGGGGATCCCAGGGTAGAAACAAGTGACCTTCCCCACTCACGGCCCTGCCCCCCCAGGAATGTATCTGGAGAGCTGCTGAGCCTGGGAGGCTGACCAGCCCGCTGGGCCCAGCTCTGCACCGAGTCCTGGTGCTGGGTGACTGGCCCCTGCCTGCCTGCCGGGCCCAGGGGCCCGCCCCGGGCCTCCTCCGAGGCCCTGACTCTGTGGAGAGGAGCCCCACGCCCAGCCTGGCTGAGCCTGAGATTCACTCCCGCTCACACCAATTCCCACACAGGTCCTTGGACTTTTAATGTTCTTTGAATAAACACTTTATTTTCTAATAAAATAATTTTCCTGCTGCTGGAAGTTTCCTTCCCATCACCAGAGAGGAGAAAAGAGAAGATGGATGCCCGGGGGAGATCTAACATCCATAATGTTCCCTGTCACCCCACCCCCTCCCACCTAGCCTGTGAACAGTGATAGTAGGACAGAGCAAGCCAGACACGGACACTCCCAGCCCCATGGACTCCTCCAGCCCCATGGACTCAGCTGGGCTGGTGGAAGGAAGGAGGACTGGAGGAACCCAGAGGCAGGTGTCAGGAAGACATCCAAAGGAGAGGGTATTCTAAATGGGGCTTGGAGGTGTGAGTAAGAGTTTGCAAGCTGCAGATGGGCACCCCATGCCGAGACATGGTGAGTTCCATGAGACAGCAATTAGTCCATGAACACCAGTTGAGTACCCACTGTATGCCAGGCAGTAAGGAGCCGACTGTGAGTGGGAAAACGCTCTTGGAAGCCAGAGGGCTGTGAGCCAAAAGCCTGGCTTTAGAGCCTGCTTGGTGGCTGTGTGACTTTGAGCAAGTGACTTGACCTCCCTGGGCCTCAGTTCCCTCATCTGTAACTCACCCCACTGGGTGGCTGAGGGGAGGTCTCACACTCTGACAAGACCCCGGCACAGGAGAAGCACCCCAGCAGTGCCGGCAGCTTTTCTGTGATGGGAGCTAGGGTGGGGGCAGGCCTCAGTGCAGGTGGGTGAGAAGGGGCCTGCTTGGGGCCCAGGACAGGCCCGGTGACCAGCACACTGGCGGGGAGCAGGTCTGAGCTCAGTGGAATGTCCTGCATCCTAGTGGATAAGTGAGGACCCTGCATGCCTGGGCCTCAGGCTGTGCAGATGCCAGGGACCAAGCGGGGGCCAGGTGGGACTCAGGAAGAGGGGTTTGGCCTGTGGTCTCTGATCCTCACCCCCTACCTTCCAAAGAGAGAAGGGGGGCCCTGACTGGTGTGGCTCAGTGGGTTGGGCCTTTTCCCACAAACAGAGAGGTCACTCATTCGGTTCCCAGTCAGGGCACATGCCTGCCTCTGGGCCAGGTCCCAGCAACCCTGGTTGGGGTGTGCAGGAAGCAACAGATGGATGCTTCTGTCACACCTTGATATTTCTCTTCCCTTCCTCCCTCACTCCTCCTGTCTTGAAAAATAAATAAATGGAAATCTTGAAAAAGAAACAGAAAAGGGGGTCTGGCTGTGCCTCAGTGTCTGTGCTGGGTAGTTGGGAGCAGTCTTGCTGGGGCAGCTCAGTGCACACCAACACTGCTTTTAGATGGGGGCGGGGCACCAGTCAGCCCAGAGTAAATGGGGCGTCTCAGGCACCGACTGCTTCAGCCACACACTTTCCTGCCGCCAACAGGACCTCGGAGCCAGTAGAGGCGGCCCACCCCACTGCCAGGGCTGCCCCTCTGCTGGGAACTCCCCGGGGTGACCTCAGTCCCCCCAGGGGCCAGAATCAACCATCTGACCCTGTGGGTGCTTCACCTCCATCCCCAGTCTTTGCACACACGTGCGTGGGTGCAGGCGTGCCCGTGTGTACTCTCAGTGGTCTCAGGTCCCCCCAGACGGTCCCCTTGCTGGTCCTATGTGACTGAGTGGCTGGGGTGCCATGTCCATGTCATAGGCCCCTGCCTGGGGGCACACTGTTCATCACCACCTCTCAGTGGCTTGGCTTGGCTTTCTCGGGTCACAAGTGAGGTTCGGTATCTTGTAACACAGAAGGTGTTTGTGAAGCGTGGGCCCCTAGCTGCCTGGACATGCAGAGCTGTGTGACATGGGCCAGGGGGAAGGATGGGACACCTTTGACTTGCCAGGGCAGCCGGCTGGCTTTTTATGGTTCCCCAGCTCCTACACCTGGGAAGCCCAAACTCACAGTGGGGCCCGGAGGCATTAGGTCACTTGCCTGGGGCCACCCCACTTGGCGAGTAGCCCAGGTGTGACCTCTTAAACAAGTAATATGACACTCACATACAAAAATACGTCATCTACGTGAGGGAAGAGCCGGCACTTAGGGGAGTTCTTGTCCTCTGAGTAAGCGTGAGAACCCTGCACCCTAGAGCCCTGCAAGAAGACTTCGTGTTCATAAGAAGCTCCATGGTTCTAACTTCCCTTTCTCTTAACTTCCTCTTCCCTCCTAGAAACAGTCCTGTCTACCTTGGCACGCAGGCCAGAGTGAGCATTAGACTAGCCATGCCTGCGCTCACTGGGTTGCCACCCTCTCTTTTCCCCCAAACAAATCCTGGGGGACAAAACACCTAGTTGATACCATTTTTCTGCTAACAAGCTCTAGTTCCAGAACATTCCATCACCCCCAAAGGAGAGCCCATTCCCATGAGCAGGCACTCCCTGCTCCCCTCCCCCAGCCCTGACAACCTAATCCAGCTTGCTGTCCCTAGGGATGTGCCTGTTCTGGACAGTTCGCGTACATGGAATCAGACCACATGTGGCTTTTGTGTGTGGCTCCTGCCACCCAGCAGGATGTTTTCAGGTTCATCCACACTGCAGCCTGTGTCGGTGCTTCGGTCCTCTTTGTGGCCGAGTGATGTTCCCGTGCGTGTGTGCGTGAGCCACGCTTTGTTCACCCCTCCTCAGCTGGTGGACACCGGGGCTGTTCCTGTCCTTTGGGGATGTGCCCAGCGCAGCTCTGAACGCGGGCTGCAGGGGTGGGTGTGCACGCCTGTTCTGGGTTGTACAATGGGGCCCTAGGAGTGTGATTGCTGAGTCGTGTGGTGACAACAGTCCAGGTCTGAACCAGGGCCCTGCAGCCTCAGAATCTGCCCTGGGAGCTTCGGAGCCACTGTGGGGTCCTCCCTGCCAGGAACCCCTGACAAGAAAAGCCTCAGCTTCCTCGGGTGGGCGGGGCTGGCCCTGTACAGAACTCACTTCCTCCACCCTGGATGCAGGATTAGGGTGGTGCGAATTTCCCAGGGGAACCGCAGGAGGGGCTCTGCCTGGTGTGGGGGACCAGCTGGACCACTCACTTCCTCAACACCAGGCCTTTGGGCTGGATTCTGTCTCCTTCATGGGGCCCAGGAACTCAGGGATCCCCGGGCTCCACAGGGCCGGGGAGGGCTCCGAACTGAAATCACAGTGAGTGAGAATGGGCGTCCAGGGCTCCAGATGGGGAAACTGAGGACCTGCCCCCACCCCCCGAAAAGAAACACGGTGGGAGACTGGAGCCGTCGCCTGAAGCCATGTGGACCCAGATCTGACTCCAACAGTCGACACTACAAGCTTCCAGACACGCAGATGCCCACAGCACCGGGTTGGGGATGGGTTTGAAACTTCTGCAAGTCCCAACCCCAAGAATCTCGAGATCCGACTTGCAGCTTGCAGAATCATTCCGAATGCTAGCCGGTGGCCTGCGGGGTCTCAGGTCTCGGGGGTTTTGAGGGTCGGCAACTCTCCGATCCCCTGCAGAGACCTGAAAGGCCACTGGATTCAAACTGCTTCCTGTGGCCTTTCTTCACCGAACACAAGGTGGACCAGCGCTGGGGGAGGCGAGGCCCTATGCCAGGGTCTGGCAGGGCTCGGCTTGCACACCACCAGGGGAGGGGAGCTCACTATCTGACTGTGGGTTGGTCTCAGTTAGGATCGTGTTCCGCAGACGACCGGGAGGCCACGAAGGGCAAAGGAGGTGAATGAAGTCTGCGGTTCAGGGGGAAGGGGCGGGGCCGGGAAGGGAAGAAGGAGGGGCCAGAGGGGGGGAACCTCTGCAGTGCAACCGGGAAATTCCGCCCAGCAGGTGGTGGGGCAGGGGGCTGGCCGGCGGGAGGCGAGGCCTGGAGGGGGCTGGAGGGAGGGGCGGGGACTCGCGCTCAGGTGAAACTCTTCCTCCTGGTCGTCAGCGAAGAGGAGCAGGGGTCGCAGACTGGACCGTGTCTGGGGGTGAGTGTTGGGGTTTCCCGCGGACCTGGTGGACCCCCCCTCGGTGGAAGGGAGGGAGTGCGGGTTCTTGGGGAACTCTGCCAGGTGCCTCGGGTGGGGTGTCAGCGTGCGTTTACTGTAAACCTGCCAGGAGATGCTGGAGCCCATCTCCTTACCTGGTCTCAAAATCCCTGTAGTCCTCCGCCATCCCTGATAGTAACCCCGGCTTTTGTAAGGCTGACTCAGACCTGGCCGGGAAGGGAGTCTCCCCCATGCCTGGGGAGGGAGGGGGGAGACAGAGACCACCTGGGTGTCTGGTATCCCTGATCCCTGCAATGCCCCACGGACACTCGAGGTGACCCTAGACTCCTGCCCTCCCACCTCCAAGTATAGGGTAGGATCAGAAAAAGTGGAGGGTGAGGAGTGGAGGGCTCTCTGTGCGCTCTGGCCATTACCAGTACTTTTGTGGTTGGTGCCGAGATTGTTAGGTGTTAAGGTGATCAGTGACTGGAGCTGGGAAAGGATTCACCAAGAGAAGAGAGTGCAGACAGTAAAGTTTTCATTCACTCTCCAAGAGAGGAGAGGGGCTGGTGTGGAGAGACCTTTTATTGGATTTTAACTAGATTATAAAAGGTCAGGGGTGGCTGTTGGGTGACCAGTGTGTTATTGGGGTCCTTCAGCACAGGAGGTTTCCAGAGGTTTTTCATAAGCTGCAGTTTGCTCCAATATGTTATCTTTGCCTGAGGCTGGGGTGGAGTGCCACTTTTTGCCCTTGTTTTTCCAGTAGTGCTCCAGTCCTGGGGACATAAATTCAGACGTGTGAAATGGCAGTAGTGTTCCATAAGGGCGTAGGGCTGCTCAGCCGATGGTGCTGGTTTCTTCCTTTCATCAGGGGCACTGATTTGGGGAGGAACAGACTCTGGGGCCCCAGGTGCGCTTTATTACTGTTACCTGAGGGAGCAGCTGCTGACTGCCCAGGCCTACCAGGCACTGGGCCACATTCAGACCTGAAGGCTCCAGCTCCTGGCTTCCCCTGGGTTCAGGCCCCTGCTCAGCCAGTGCCTACCAGCGTGGCTCCTGGTCCCTAGACATGCCTCAGTTTCTCCCTGTGAGGGAGGACAATGGCCCCCCTGCCATGAGGATGCACAAGGTGTTCAGCAGGCAGAAGCTTTTATGATGAGGCTGCTCCTGGACACTGGGGACCTCCAGTGAGTGACTTTAGGTCTCTGAGCCTCACTTTCCCTAGGATGTCAAGCAGAGCTCATGGTATAAGTGACAGTGCTGAAGGTGACACTGATCATAAGCCCAATGGCCATTAAGAGGGTGCCCAGCAAACTTCAGCCATCACCATAATCGTATGAATAATAATTGTTATTACTATTAGTACAATCACATCTTTAGCTAGGTTCCTACCTTCCTTTGAGATTTCTGAAGCGAGTTTATTTGGGGAAAACATGGGAATTGAGAGGCTGACTTTCTTAGTGGGACCACACAAGTACTGTTTGCTTGGGAGTAAGGGGTGAGGGTGCTGAAAGGGGACTCACACGGCTTCTTCCCAAACTCTCTGCATTTGCCCTTTGTTCAACTGTTACCCCTCCCTCCACGCTGTCAATCCTCTCTTCTCCCACACCTTTGGTTTATGGCCAGCAAAGCTACGTATTACCTGGTTAGGGGAGGAGAGGTATAAACCATTTGCTCCCCAGTGTCCTTGGGGGAGACAAGGTCTTGTGATTCACCAGCGGGCTGTAAGTTGCTTCAACTGTTTGGCTTTCTTTACTTTTCTTGTCTCAGTTTCCCATCCTACTGGCCCAGGAAATTTCATAGCTTCTTACTATCCTGTCTCATTCCCCCCTCAGAGACTTTCATCCCTAAAATGTTTTAGCGGTGATAAGGGAGGAAATTCTCTTATCAGTAACTGCTTTCTGCTGTCAAAGGTCATGTGTGTTCCTGCCATGTAAGGTGTGGAAGTCTCTTCCTGCTGATCTAAGGGACACAAGGGAATGGGGTCTGAGACTCAAACAGAGAAGCTGTGAGCTGATTCTTCCAAAGTAGAGGTAGGCTGGAATCCTCAGAGCATCATTATTTTGATATGGAATGGTTGTATGTAATTCAATCATCTAGTCCTGACAACAAGTCCCTTCACCCAAACCACTGAGTCTCATTTCAAGAGGTGGTGATGCTGGTGTGCTTCTAAAGGGAGGCCTATACTGTGTAAGTAAGCAACTAGGGGAAATAAGGTCATGGTGTGCACTCTATGAAAATAGAAAGAACACAAAGGTTAATGAACACAGCAAATCGTGAACCAGTTCTGAATCTGCAAGAGTGTTGGATGAGAAGACTTCCAAATGCAAGGCTTTTGCTGGAATGAAATTAAGCATGACGATCTGCTAGGTCCTCTTTATCTGTAGTTGAAATGTCTCTGGTGACACTGTATGGTTGACACTGCATCAGTAGTTCTCAATGATTCCAATTCAAAGGACGGAAGAAAAATGAAGCTTTAGTTTCAAAGGACACTAGAAAATTCAGGATCCAATTCAGTTTGAGGGTGACAATTAGGCGTTGTGATTTCCATTGAAACACAATTTCTCTCCCTAAAATCACCCTCATTTTAATCAAAGAGACTGCATTCAGTCCAGGCTCAGTGTGGCCTGATTATTTGCATAAACACAACCAGAAGAGTAATTGATCATATAGTCTCTTTCAAATCTGCTTTGCTGGAATTTCAGAAGGAACCTTTAGACTGAGCTTTAGTCAGCCCTCAGGGCACAGAAGCGAAGCCACACCATTGTCATCTGGCTTTGCCTGCCATACTGATAGGTTTGGGTGTATACCTCAGGTTCTCATGGTCCCCAAAGTATCCTGAGGTTCTTTCCATGCCATCTTTCAGGAAAGCACCCTTTCTTCTCTACCCGGAAAGACTGCCATGAGCCACATGACCAAGCGAGGTACCAGGCCATTTCTGCCATGGGCTCTTATTGGCTTTGAGAATCAGTCTTAATTCCTTAGGCTTTCTGGTGACATCCAGAGTCCAGGCATGGATCTTTTGGTCATGACATGCCAGACAAAGACTTGGTTAATAAAACCACAATTGGAAGCTGGCTTTATGTGTCCTGTTATATAGAAATCAGATTCCTACGGGATTTATGCAGACATACGTATTGCCATGGAAATAATAACACTCACCCATTAAGCATTTTCAAATTCCAGAGGGATCAGGTAAGGAGAAAATATAAATGCCTCAATATTGCCTGTGAAAGTATAAATTACCAAATAGTTTTAAGAAAAAAAATTACTTTTGTTATATATGAGAAACAAAAGATTAAGAGTCAGCAATACTTTTCAACAAAAAGTTACAAAAGCCACAATTGTCTTCAGTTTATTATGTCCCATGGTTAGTTTTTGTTTGCCTTGATGATTTGCCAGTATTTCCATGAATCTAGTTATTTCTTGGAGTTCTGTAAATCTTCATTTACTTCATAAATATGACCAGCTTTGACACCTGTAATTTAGATAAATTTGGAGTATATCAGAGTCCTTTTCATAAACCCTTCCAAAGACGTAATATATTTTTGCAAATGCATTAGAGTAAAACAATGACTATCTCCAAATGATAAAAAAAGTTTAAAGTGAAATAGTTACAGATTTGATTATAATGCAATTGACAAAGGATTTGCTTTCCCGTAACAACATTTTAAGATATAAACTAAAATTATAAATGAAAGTATATCTGAACCTTGTGAATCTTGGAGATTTTTATATAATCTTTTAAACATCTACATTAACAATAAAATATGTATATACAAATAGAACATACTTATTATTTCTTTTTTTGACAACCTTCCCATGTACTTGAAACATTAAATATGTATAATTAGTTCAAAGTTTTTTTTTATTTAAAGATTTTCTTTATGTTTTTAGAGTGGAAGGGAGGGAGAAAGAGAGGGAGAAAAACTTTGATATGTGGATGCCTCTCACATGCCCCCAACTGGGGACCTGGTCCACAACCCAGTCATGTGCCTTGACTAGGAATCAGACCTGTACCCCTTGTTTTGCAGACTGGCACTCAGTCCACTGAGCCACCGCAGCCAGAGCTCAAAGGTTCTTAACATGCAGAAAGAACAAATCTCTGAGGCATTGCAGGGACTCATTGGAATGACACAAAACCAATTTTAGGCATAGAAAAATTTCTTGGACTTCTGGTAAACATGGCTCACCTCCTTGCAAAACCACATCAAAATTGCAACTAAAATATGAATCAGCCATCTCTTAGAACCATCAGAAATTGAGGTGAATGAAAGTTTGACAGTATGGAATTAAAGAAACCATATCCATCCAGAGTGGTCAGAAATGTAGAAACATGGAATGGGCTAGTCCCCTATTCACGTGTGGTGAATAAAAATTTAGGAGGGATATCTTGGGATCAAGGAGACTGAGTCCCACACCATGACCATCAGCCCAGCGTTCCAGTGCCAAGAAGATAAGTCCCCATAACTTCTGGCTCCAAAAAAGAGCAGAGATTGAGTTGGTGGAAGAAACCCATGTAGTCCTGAGCAGTTTCCTTTAAACAGCATCCCCAACCTTTTTGGTACTGGGGAGTGGCTTTGTGGAAGACGATTTTTCCACGGACTGGGGTGGGAGAAGCGGAGACAGGAGGCAGAGCTCAGGCCAAGGAGGAGGTTGGGAGAGAGGAGGTAGAGGTCAGGCAGTAATTAAAGTGACATCCACCTATGGAGAGGAAGGAAATAGGGCACATCAGCCTTAAAGAACTCACACATGGACTTACTCAGACTCACTCCCTCTGAGCTCCAGCACCAGGGTAGCAACCTGAAAGTACCAGTGGCATACAGAGAGGGACCAAAGTGTCTGGCATCAAGGTAGGAGATGAGGGACAACTTTCTCTCAGATGCAAAGGTGAGCAGAGGTTGTCTCTTTTTGGAACCTCCCCACAAAGAGCTACAGAGCCAGCAGGGGGCTGCCATACCTGAGACTCCATCAACTTGGCTAAAACTGTTTGCCCTGCC